TATTTTAAAGAAAGTAAAAATAATGCCGATAAACGAGAAAAATGAGAGAATCATGATAAAGATGATTCGGTATGTGTGTTCAGATCTGTGGATATACTGCATAGGAGGCTAAGACTCTGTTTGTTTCGTTTTTTGATTGGTATAAGTCATTTTGATTCTTAGTATAAGTCATTTTGATTTGTCCTAAGTTTCACCTGATACACATATTTATTTGACGAAAAAATATTAAAAATATATTTTTACATTCGTCGAATTCTCTTAATCGTTATGAAATATTTTTAAGGTTTTTTCGTTAATTAAAAATACGTATTAGATTAAACCTAGGATAAATCAAAATGTCTTATATTAAGGACCGGATGGAGTACCTTTTTACATTTCAAATACAAAAAATACCTAAAAATACACACTAAAAAAACGAAACAAACAGACCCTAAAAAACTACAGAATCAAGAATGCAAAATAAAAGTGGTAGGAAAGACCTAAAAAGATTTTAAAAGAAATAATAAAAAATTGAAATATTTGGAATTGAATGAAGAATTGTGTGCGATAACAACATATGATCCATATGACTGAACCTTCATAGATTTGTTGCTGCTATTGTTGTTGTAATCATATTAATTTTTCCTTTTTTTAAATTGGATTTTTTAGATAAATATTTTTATAAAATTTCATTACTTTTCTAAAATAAATAAAATATTACAATATCTTTTTATTACACTTTTTCTAATTTATATTTTTAATATTAATTATGAACTATGTATAACTATTAAATGAAAAAAAAGGATAATTTCTTCATCTCGAATGATTATATAGGTAGTTTGAATTTTTATTTTTAAGTCAAATAAAAAATTTAAATTGTATAATAACTTTAAAACAGATAGATTATATGATAAACATGGACTCGCTTCTTACTTACAAACCGGATAGATTAGTGTCATTGTAGCTCAACATAATTTAGTTATAATCCGTGACGAAACGAGAATTTTTAAATCGGAAAGTCAAAAATATGACTCAGGCGTCGAATTAAAAGAATTCTTTTTACGGACAGCCTCATAAGAGAAAATCCGGCCAAAAAATATTATGCATATGTATAGAGAAAAAACTAACTCCGGTGAGGACATAATTGACATTCATTCTTTAGTTTATTCGGTTTTTCACTCACTTAGATCCGCTCGTAGACTTTGGACTTGGACAACATTTTTCGGCATTTCCTCGTTAATTAAAATTTTATTTTGATAATCATTAACATAATTAAATGCGTTAAGCCTATTCAATGATTGACATTAAACGAGGGACAATATAAAATTGGTAGAGAAGCCCTAGAATTCGTTATCAAAAAAATGAAAAAACAAGGGTTGTGATTATGACCAAACGCAAAATGCGAGACGTGCCCGTATTTCTTTCTTTCCTTTTATTTTATTTTCTTAAATAAGAATATTGTAAAAACATTTCAAAGCTTTTCCGCGTGCGACAACGTCTTACGCGGTGGGTTGGTGGGGCGAACCCTAAATCAAATGTTCCGTCTTCCTAATTACCTCATTTTAGTGATTTGCTCTCGTTCATCATCGACAATACTTCTTTGTTATAGTAATAAAAAATATAATAAATTAAATAATCATTTGATATGGTGATAAAAAAAAATACAAATTAAACCACCATAAATTGTTTGTTTGTATTTGTTTTCTTGTTCTTTGTTTTTAGACATACTCTCTTCTTCAAAAACTTGGAGTTTTTTTTTTTTTTTCCCTAGGAAAGAAGAGAAAAATTGTCTTGCAATGGAAAATTTTAGAAAAAAAAATTCTTTATTGTGGGGAATATTGCAGGAAATGTAAATAGGAATGTACGTGATGTTGGTTAGGCTGTGAACTTTTTTGGTTAAATACATGTTGAATACTTAGAATACCGCCATGCCTCTCATTTAGAATGCTAAGTGCCCTGAATAGGTTCATAATTGAGAAAAGAATTTTATGTCTCTCAAGCATTTGGTTTGGTTTTTTCAAATTCTCTCTTAAATTCTAAAAGGGCTTTGGTGGGGTGTCAAGCCAACAAACAATTTAACCTATTTCCAAACTAATGTAGTACAGGAAAGTAAGGTTGTCTCCTCAGAGAATGGTGAATTTCTCTCTTTTAAATCAAGTAACCAAAAGGGGGGGTTTTGAGTTGTTGAAATAAATTGCAAACAATACAAATTGCAAACAATAGCTAAAATGATTCAAACAAATAATGAGAAAATATCTAGCTGAAGGGTTTGTATATCCACCTTGATTTAAACAGTTGATCATAGATGCAATGATATTATCATTAACTTATGAGTAGATTAGTTTTCATTGTTGGAACCTCCAAACAATTCAATCTTTCATTTAGTTCAATGATTAAGAAACCTTCATTAATCATATACTAGTCGAAAACTAATCTTAGAACCTCCAAAGATTTAGAAAACTACTACATTAAACACATAAACCCAATCCCAATTCCTATAAAACAAACCTTATTTTATATTAAACCGGATTACTTGTTCTTATAACATAAATAATTACTTACCAAGTAATTAAATTATATTATACCCTATTTAAACAACAAACCTTGTTGTTTTATTGGTTTTAGATTATTAAGAAGCACCGAATGCTACCAGCTATTCATGAATCCACAATAATCATATCAATCATGCCATAGAACAAGCAATTACTCACAAGAAATTCAGAGAGAAACAACATTTAAATCTCACAACTATTCAAACCAAGACTTCAATACCCTTCAACCAGATGAATGAATTTAGCTACTCATCATGAAAACTGAATCACAAGAAAAATTCATTGAACAATATTACCGATTGATGTCTATGAACTCGGAAGACTCCAAAAATGAAGAAAGTGCCTTTGAAAACTCCTTAAAAGTGGAAAACTACGTCTATTTTTATTCTACTACCTACTCCTCTTTCAAAATGAAAAGAAAAGTCTATTTATATTCAGAATATAGGTCAACCGCAGCAGCCCTCTCAGAAATCCGCAGTAGCAAATTAATTTTTCCGAGATTTGCATATTGGTCCCTCAAATTTGGCAAAATTACATTTTGACTCCAAAACTTTTTCAATTTTTTATTTTAGTCCCTGTTTTGGTTTGGCCAAACGGGAATGCAGCTTCAATGCTGGAATTTCTTCTCTAAAGCTCAATTTTGGACTGAGATTCGTGTGCCCACACGAGAATGTGATGTCATTGCTCCTTCTTGTGCTTCCTTGTCAAAATGCTCAAAAATGTGTGTTTATGAAACATTTTGCTCCATCTCATCTCTAAGGACTCCTAGGAACCAAAAACATCAAAATACATAATATAAGTACACAATCTAATCCAAAATACTATACAAATACCCATAAATAATATGAAACTTCAAGACCTATCAGCCTTCAAGGAATGCTTTCGATTGATTGTACAAGCTATTTTTATAATAAGGTTTTGAAATGTTTGTGTACTGTTTTAATACGGAGCAAGTATTATTATTATTATTATTATTATTATTATTATTATTATTATTATTATTATTATTATTGTATAATTGATATATGTCATGTTTCCTAATCCATAATTAATAAAAAGACGTGCTAGTTTGAAGAAAAAAAGCTAAAAAAAAAAACCACAAAAAATGATACACAACGTCGGCAGGAGTAGCCACGAGGGGATCCGTCTGTGCTATAACCTAATTGACGAGGTAAATATTCGCGACGTCTTTTGTTTGTTTTTTTAAAGACCCTGATATTATAATTGTAATTATAAACTACAAGCAAAGAATTGAAATCATAGATTACACAAGAATATTAATAAGTATTTTATTTGATCCTTAGTATAAGACTTTTTTTAAGGTTCCCCTTAGTCTTATTTATAAGGCATTTGATGTTTTTAAGGCTTTATTTAGAATATACTTGCAACTTTAACCCAACTTCAATTGACTTAACTTTAATTTGATTGATTATAAAGAGAGGGAACATTTTTAATATGGATAATACAGATAGTTCACCAAAAACTAACTAATTTAATTATTTTCACTAATTTTTATAAATTACTTATTTATGCCTTATATCAAGAAGAGGAAGGAGTTTTCGTATTAGTTTTTGGTCAAAGAAATTTGATTATTATATAGTAGAGTTAACGACATTCAAAATTTTTTAAAAATTTTGCTTATCCTATATACATGTATAATTGTATATCTAGTGTGTACAAATATTTGAACTAAATAAAAATAACATTTTTTGCACTGAGAAAGACAAAAATTTTCATAAATTTTAATATGTATTATTTATTTATAAAAAAATTGCATACATTTACATAAATTTATTTATTTACATATACTGAAAATTGGCAGGCATAAAAATGATTTTTCTTTTAAATATGCATGGAACAATTTCCCATAACAAAATAAGGAAAATTTTCAAAAACTAGAAACTAAAAAGTAAAAAAAAATTAAAAAGGGGAAAATAAGGTTTCACTTGGTACTTGCTCATGTCCTGAGTGGATATTTAACTATCATACTAATAATCAATTACTTAATTAACAAATTGCTATAACAAATAAAGTGGAAATGATTTTTTTTAAAAGAAGTATAATTATATATTAGTTGGAAAATAACAAACTAAATAATTCTTAAGTAAAAAAAATTCTAAACATCCAAAGACAAGAATTGATATTAAAATCATGATTCTTAATTAGTAATTCTTTTGATGTACTAAACGAAAGAATTAAGATTAAATTGTGATTTAAAAATGTCTTTTTCAATTATATATATATATATATATATATATATATATATATATATATATATATAACGAAAAGAGTTTAATTCCGTCCGATTGACATTCAACTTACGCCCTTTCCCTCTCATTAGGTTTTCTTTAGAAAGAGTTGAATTTAAAAAATTAGGAGGGAGAGAGCTTTTTGTTTCGAAGAAATGGAACGCCAGTTAGCTGAGTTTTCTTCAAGTTTAGATTTTGTTCACAATCGCATTTCCAGTAGATGATTCTTGATCCCGCTAAGCCTTCTCTCATAGTCCCTCCGGCGGAGCCGGTGCTGCAGCGGTGGAACAGGAAGGGGACGGTGCCGGCTATGATTGGTGGCCCAATCCATCAGCTCAATAGCACTTCGGGAGCAATTAATGTACGTTTCCTAATCATTTTAAGAATCAATTTTCGTTTTCCGTTTGGGGCTGGTTTGCAGTAGTAGTAGAATTAAAATTCTGGCAGGATTATTCTCAATTTCTGTCCTAAAATTTGGTACTTTGAAGAAATTCAAGTTCGAGATAGTTCATTGAATAAAGAATGTCAGCAAAAATAATAGCTCTCAGGTGAAATACTTGTGAGTTGTTACGAGGTTTGTTATCATGATTTTAGCTATATTGGCACAAAATGAAGAAAGTTTACATGTCACTTCAGTTTCAGGCAATTAAGATTCCTTTTACCAGTGTGGCTTGTTGAGATTCATTAGTGGAAAATATGATTCTTTTTCCTTGTTTTCATCCTTAGGTGTTTTCGGTTGTTTGAACTTTAATTGTTCCTTTTCTAAAGATGCTACCCAAACAATGTTTGCCGGGTTTGGGTTTATATTGATTATTGTTTCCTCTCCAATGTTAATGATGCCTAGCTGTGTATCTCTTTCTCTATCTTCAGTGAAGAAGAGACCCCAAGGTTTTAAGGGCCGTGTGACGCTGAGTCTAAGGAGCTTCTCAGAAGAAGCAGAAGCACTGTAATTGCAGATATTTGAGATGCTTGAAGTAGTAAGAGCATCTTCTGAATTTTCTTTTCTTTCAAAGAGTAAATTTCTGCTTCTATAGTTGCCATTGTGCCCCTGGTATATCTGACTCATATGGCAATTATACATTGTCTAAGCATATGAAAATGAGTTCTACTTCTGCTACTTGTTGCAACAAAAGAGGAAACGGGAGTCCTTGTATACCAGTAGATGCAAATAAGGCCTTTTTAAATTTAGATTTTGAGTATCTTAACTACTGATACAAAAGGCCCAGTTGGCATATTTTGCTTCACTTTGGTGCCTTAGAACTACTGTGTTTACTAGTCATGCAAGGAAAACCGAATATTCACACTTGCTGTTGAAGTCATTATGAAAGTTCTGTACTCCATCCCATCTCAGCTTAATCTGCAGTCAAGACTTGAGAGCCTCATCTAGTTTCATCTAGTCGATATTTCTAGTAATTATCTGTAGGTCATCTGATGCATAGGTCTTATCTCTGTGTAAGATAGGAAAGAAAAGAAACACGAGCTGATTGTTACGCGTTGCTTTGGATTAACTGAAGTTAAAATTTTTCTCCTTTTTACGAAGTTTTTACATTTTAATTTTGCAATTTAGAGAAATTTACCAGCATAAGGACAAATTTTTGTGCTTAAGCTTCCAAGAAGGACCAGACTTTCCTGACCAAGCACTGTGAATGATTTTCCAATGGATCCTTTGCAATGGTTGCAGTAGTGAAAATCATCAAAATTGTTTGGATAGTGCGGAAGAATGGAAGGAGCCAACTGAAAAAATCCTAGAGAGGAAACCAGATGCATTCTGAAAATTTCTTATAGCACATTAGGAGCCAGGGGTGTCATGGTATATAGCTTGAGTTCCTAATTGCACTGGTAGAATAACATCACACCTGCCTCTTATTGTGACTTTGTGGAATGTTTCTCTTCGATGTTCTTAAATGATGTTAATATCTGATACAAGGTAAACACATATAGATTGGAGGTTGCAGCTTGTGTTCTCCAACTTTTTTCCTCTAGATAGTTTCTTTGGTGTTAGGAAGGAATTCCTGCCATTCTGTAATTAGCACGAACACAAAGCAAAGGATGTGCTTCGACCATTATTATGTTATGTGATGGTTTACTGGTATCTGGTTGATAAATAGGTTCAAGATAGTTTTCAAGATAGTTTTTTTGGTACTTCCCCAAATGTGATTTCTGCTCATAGTGAGAACTCAGGAAGTTGAGCAGTTCATGGAGTGAAAGATGGATTATAAGCCAAGTTTTACTTATTATGTGGATCCTCTTAAACATGCATATAAAATTGGAGTGTTGTCAATATTGTATTCATTTTGTCAGCTCCAAACTGTGCTACAATTGATTGTGACATTGCATTACACAACTGTTCCTTTCCTTGCAACTTGCTGCATCTCATTATATTGTTCTCATGTTGATTTTGGTGCATGTTTGAGTAACTGTCTTAACAATTGGTGATGGAACACTGAAATTTTTTTGTTGCCAGACTTTTGTAATTGTTAAACCTCCAAGGGCATCTTTTGTCCCAACATTTGTTCCATCATCTGGATCTATTGCAAGGTTGTCGGGGTCTTCACAAACCCCCTTCAGGTGAGCACAGATAGATAAAATGTTTGTAGCTGCAGAGTGTGAAGGACTCTGTTGTTCCTTATCCATTTATGTGGTTATGATATCAATCTATTATTTCTGTGTTGAAGGTCTCTGTTAATGGATTTCCGCAAGTTGCAGCATTTGAATGAGCTCTTTCACAAGTACTACTGCAGTTAGACACTTGAAAGTGTTAGCTTTTTTCAGAGTTACTGTACTTTGGAAGCATGATTCCAACAGTGTTCTAAGTGGATTGCTGTATGAGAAGTCTGTTAAAGTAAATAGATTCTTGTCTAGTGTTGAGTTTGCTTGAATTAGGTCTAATACTCTCATCAAAGTAGTATTCCTGTCTAAAGTTTTTTGAAATTCGATGCCCGTTGTGCCGTGTTTACTTTTCTTCTTGTGGTCAGGACTCCCGGTCTGAGCTAGCTATATCTAACTAGTCTTTGCATGTGTAGGCATTTCACCTAGTGAGTTTGAGATGAAGATGATAAATCTGGTTTAATTGTATGAGATTTGTGATCATACAGGAGTTAAAGTGATTCATCCAGACCTTGTGCTGGTAGTTAATTTAGCTTACAAGCAGGCAAGGGATACACAAGACGTTAAATAGCTCTTTTTTTTTTCTTTATTTTGTCTCCGGAACGAACTTGCTAAATTTCTAATGTCATTTCGTTTCTTTTCTCCCAATCTGATTACTATTTCTAGTCGAGCAGAATAACTAGTTCACTTTCATTTCTATGCAGTTTTACGTTTACTATATTAATATGTCCCAAGGTGGAGAAATAAGCACTCTGATGTGTTCTCATATCTGACAGATAGTGTACATGGCTAAATTTCAATTCTCCTGGAGCATTATCTGTTCTTGGTTTGAAAGCTTCCCATTTATCTTTCGCAGGATCTCTAGAGAATAGACACTGTTTGTAACCAAAGATGATATTCAGAATTCAAGATCTGGTGAAAGGGATGGAACTATCTTCTACACATTGAATCAGATGTTGAGGCGATCTGCAGAAAGGAAGGCCATTCTATCCAGAGACACATGAACGAACTTGTGATGAAAGTGATAGTATAACCAGAAGAAGTGCCTTTCCTCATGAAGTTCCGAGTTTTGGGGAAAACGAAAATCAACGTCAGGCTTCAGCGAAGTAGTAGATGCAGAAGCAGAATGACTCGATCCGGCTAATCTTCTTGTGAGTCAGCTTATAAGTTGTGACAGCGTAAGAGGCCGATGATGTATAGCCTCAGCTTAGGATTGAAACGTTAAATTAAAACGTTAGGTTTGATATGAATTGCACGTAAAACCAATTTTATTATCGTTTTAAACTGGAAAGGACGTTGAAGAAAGCTTGATTCATTGAGCAATGAAGGATTATTATTGTATGATTCTGCGATGTGGAACGTAGTTATTATCTTGGCAAATGAAATGGCAGAAGTGTTTTCAGTTTTCACTATAGATTTTTTGTGTGTAATTAAATTGCACTGCAACAATTCAGACGAGAAGAAAATAAAATGAAGAGTAAAAATCCCAGTTTTGTTTCCTACAGTATCTGACGACAAAAAATGCAATTTCATAATTTCAAACAAAAATGGGGGAAGCACACTGACATACATTTCCGCCAAGGAAGCCACCTTCTTCTTCTTCTTCTTCCTGGCTTCTCTTCCCCTGTTCTTAACCAGCAGCAACAAAGACAAAATAATGGCAGCAGCAGGGACCCTGTCCCACACGCACACTTTGCCTACGTGGCTCTATGCCGCCATTAATAAGTCCACGTCATTGTCCCCATCTTCCCTCCTTGACAGAAGTTCACTCTATAATAAAATCCCAAGAAGCTTGAAATTGACACATTCATTCTTTGATTATTACAGTAATAGCACAGCCATTCCCTTCCACTCAACTTTGATTACTCCCCAACTTCAACAAATGGCTGATGCCACCATCGATGATGCCCAGAAGCTTCGCCTCGAATTCCTTGATGTTCTTCGGAGCCGGCGAACCCAGGAAGGTTTGATCTTTCTTTTAATTCATTTTGAAACCTTTTGACTTGTGGGTTTTTTGAGAATTGTTAATTTTGATTTGCTTTGGCTTTTTCTTTTTTGCTGTTCAGTTCCTTTGACTGTGATACCTGGGGAGCCCGTGAAGGATCCATTGATTCAGGAAACTCCAAGGCCAGTCTTTAGTGCGGTATGGAACTTGTTTTGATTTTTGGGGTATTCAAAATTGAGTAATCTATCTAGATTTTGGTTCAACTGGGAAATTGTCATGCTTCTAAGCACAGCTATGTTTTGTAATGTACAACAGGCTATGGAGTCTTGTCCCAGAAAAGAGATACCAGACTTCAAAGAACTACTCCAAGAGGAAAATTTCTATTTGACTACTGAGGTAATTTTTGTCATCTTGACTTATATATACTTTCTTCTCTCTTTTATCTTCATTTCCTGACTGCTTTTCTAATGAAGATGGAAAAAAATTGTTGAAAAGAGGGATCTGTAGATGCTAGGATCTTGCGATGTGGGACCTCTGGAGAACTTTATAGCTATTTTGGACACTTTTCAAATAGTGTAAATAACTCAAAGCAGTAGTAAAAGCAGAAAGATGAAAAATTTTATGCCACGAACTCAAAGCACTAAGAATATGTACTAAGAACTTAGTGGCATGTATGCAAGATACTTTCAAATCTTTATTAAGAGAGGATTCTCTTAGCTTGACTGAGTCCGTCATTCTTGGAATTGCAGACTTGCAATTACGATCATGTGTTTGATATCCTCTATTTTTCAAAGCTGCAGTGCTAAATCTTCTTTCTTTGATTTTTCTCCATCCTTTTTTTTCTTTTTTTGAAATGTTCAATTTTATAGGATGTAAAAATGGCAGAGTCCGTGCTAGTGTGTTTCTGTTGGAGAAAATTCATGGTTTCTTTGGTTCTTCTTGTTTCACCATGACTGCTTTGAATCTTTTCTCTTTAAGGATGCAGGAAAGTAATATAAATTTTAATGTTAGGCGTTCCATTAATCCGAAATCTGAAGTCTTCAGATTTTGCTGGCTAATTGTTTGTAATCATTGGTAGTCAGGTGAGCAGGGGCGCTTGCCCGTGCTGATTCTGAGTCTCAAACAAAGTTCTCCGAAGAGAAGGCCTGCTGTTGTTTTTTTACACAGTACAAATAAATGCAAAGAGTGGGTACGACCATTGCTTGAGGTTGGTAGAATCCTTATATGTCTTTGAAGATTTAAAGTGTCCTAGCCATAGTTTTGGAGATAGAAGCTTCTAAGTTTGTTTGTCATACTGCAGGCATATGCTTCAAGAGGATACATAACAATTGCTATTGATTCTCGTTATCATGGAGAACGAGCTAGCAGCATGACCATGTATCGTGATGTATTTCCTTAGCCCTTGTTCTTTTCTTGAATTCACTTTCAGTATAGAATTATGATGCATTTGTTCTATTCAATAGTGAAAGCAAACAATTGAAAATCAAAAAGAAACAGGGAAGATATGTATGTATAGAGTGGTTTTTGTCTGACCATCTTTGAGGTTTACTTCAGTTGCAGATAACCACTCCTTGAAGCTGAATTATGAAATGCTTCTCCTTTCCTATAAATATGATCTAGCATCTGATTTATTTAAATCGAATGCAGGCCCTTGTTTCGTCGTGGAAATTAGGTGACACAATGCCATTCATATTTGATACGGTAATACTATCCTACAAAATGTGGTCCCTGTTTATTATGATAATCTCATGCTTTCATATGTCCAACCGATGAAAGTGCCTTCATTCTCTTAATTTTCCAGGTATGGGACTTGATAAAACTAGCTGAGTACCTTACACAAAGGGAAGATATAGATCCTTCCAGGATAGGGATCACTGGTGAATCTCTTGGAGGTTAGTTTAATGAAGTTTAAGAGGAAAATGCAAATCACTGTCACCTCAATGGAATATTAACACTAATGTAACATTTTAATTGTAAATACAGGAATGCATGCATGGTTTGCTGGTGCTGTGGATACTCGCTATTCTGTGGTTGTACCTATAATTGGTGTCCAGGTGGGTTCTTGAAGATTTATTTCGGCAGTGACTTTCTACTCATTTTGTCCAGGGATCAAATTGGAATCAAGGTCTATGTTGCAGGGCTTTAGGTGGGCTATAGAACACGACAAGTGGCAAGCTCGAGTTGATAGTATCAAAGCTGTATTTGAAGGTGAGTAATGGTAAAAAATAATACCGTCCAAAATATGTAAGTCGATTCCTGCTTTTGCAGCTCTTGTAGTGTTACTTTTATTGTAATTCATTTTCTTGTTAGTTTCATGGGTACAGTATACTGAAAAAGTACTAGTTTTCTATAACAAGGTCTTAGTTACATTTATGGAAGTATTTTGAAAAGCTCTTGGTGTCTTGTCTTCAGAAGCAAGGACTGATTTAGGTAAATCTGCAATTGATAAAGAAGTGGTTGAGAAGGTCAGTACCAGTTCTGCAATCATATTTCATACTCGTGAATTTTCAGTTTTGCCATTTCATGTTTATTTCTTCCAATGGCTGCTGCAAGTTGATTGGATTATTTTGTTCACTGTTGTGATTGATTGTTTACACTAAGGTGGTGGCTGATGTCTGGAGAGCTCCCATAGTCTGATTTTGTTTATCATGTTTTCCTCATTAGGTCTGGAACAGGATTGCTCCGGGTCTATCATCTAAGTTTGATTCGCCTTACACAGTGCCGATAATTGCACCACGTCCTCTGCTGATCTTAAATGGTATGAATCCCGTAGCATGTCTTGTTTTATTTGGCTTGAGTTTATGTTGTAACTGAATCTGATTAGGCTCTTTGACTGAAAATTTATGGACTATACAGGCCAAGACGATCCTCGTTGCCCTATTCAAGGGTTGGAAGTTCCCAGATTAAAAGCACAAAAGGCTTATGAAGAGGCCAAACATATTGACTACTATGAGGTACATTTTATTCCTTTTTTGAATAAGTTATTCACTATCTGCTATTTTGTTTTTGATGTCATTTCTTCTCTCGTCTCAGTTTAAAGCACAAGTAGGAATTGGGCACCAAATGACGCCTCTGATGGTAAAAGAAGCAAGTAATTGGTTTGACAGGTTCTTGTTGCCATAAAAGGATGTCGTCACATTGCTGAAGAATCTTGCTGTATGTATGTAACCAAAATATGCTCTTCGTTTCCTTTTCTTTTCAAGGGAAAGGATGTTCTGAACGTAGAAGCAAATGCATTGATTGTGAAGTTAAAGAATAATGTTTAAGGAAAAAAAAATCCTTGCAACCTGTTAATATATAGTATGATTTATTTGGTTGGTATACCGAGTGGTTTTGTTTGTTGATCCGACTATTGAGTGGAAGCATATGTACTAGGCTTGTGAGTGCCGATAGGGCTTAGAACTCAGAACTTTTATGTTGATGAATAGACGTTGGATCCGCGACAACACTTCTTTATATAATGCTAGAATCATCACACGCTCTTTATAGTTTTACAAGTGTTTGTTCAATCAATATGAACTTCCCAACGACATGGCAAGGGAATCTTAGGATATTCAAATTGTAGAAGAATTGGTGGCATGATGTACTTAAAGTGATGCATTTGCCAGTGAGAGGCCTTTTGCAGCCTTTAGCTCCAAGCAAGTGGATGGCTTGAAAAACAGATGCACCTGATCAGACCACCAAGTTCTTAGCTTTGAACATATGTACTCAGCACCATATGAATCAGCACAGAACAAGATGCCTCCACTGCACCAATTAAAAATAGAGATTAGAAAAATCTTAGAATATGAAAGAAATAGTTTAAGAGAGCTCATTTTGCTGCATTCGCAAGTCTCAAATATGTAGTATAACATCATCATTATAGTACTTACTAATATGAAGGAAACTTCATCCCATGCACAGATGCAATGTCGATATCTGATGAACAAACTGTTATTCCTTCTTCGGCTACTCTGCATGCCTCATTCACCACGGGAAGAATGTCATTTCCACAAGTTCTTGGTCTGTCACAGATATTTGCTGGCAACAAAAAAAACAAGTTATCTTGTAATGCTTTATTGTTAGAATGAAACTTTAGTAAAAAAAGAAAAGAAAAGAATTTTCTGAAATAAACGTTAAGAAACAATATGAAAAACCTTTCCGTCAGAAATAAGGCAACTGCGGCCGAGACTCCTCAACAACACTTGATACAGAGGGATCAGGTTTCGGCTTTTTTCCCTTTTCGTACTGGTAGAATCCTCTTCCATTAGTTTTGCCTGAGAGATCAAAGAAACAATCCGTAGGTAGCAATGTTATTCGTGAGCAAAATAGCTGCAACAAGCTAATCAGCGCAGTTTCGCGACAGAGTTTTGGACTTCTTTCTTTAGGTTAGTTGCAGATATGTTATTGTTTACCTGTCCTTCCTCTGTCCAACATAAGTTGAATTAAGGGAGATGAGGAAAGATTGTTCACCATACTTAAAATAGGGAAATTGTATTGTATTCATAATATGTTGTGCACAATATACAGACTATATATAGACAATAACAAACCCTAAACTAGGACATAATAGGAAATATACTAAATATTACAATACGCCCCCGCAAACTTACGGCTGAGAAGAGAGAAGCCGAAGTTTGTCCCGAAATCGAAAAAATAACTCTTTGGACAAGGGTTTTGTCGAATATCGCAAGTCGATCGAAGCGAGATAGAGTTGACCGAAATAAACTTACGCCGAACATGATCTCGAACAAAGTGAAAATCAACCTCAACATGTCTTGTACGAGCATGGAACACAGGATTGACAAGAAGGAAAACGCACTCACTGTTGTCACACCAAATAGAGGAGGGCGATTTAAAGAAACGCCTAACTCGGACAACAGATGACACACCCAATGCAGTTCAACACAGACATTAGCAACCGCACGAAACTCAGCCTCAATAGACGAGCGAGCCACAGTGGGCTGCTTCCTAGACGCCCAGGCAATGAGATTAGGTCCCAAATAAATGAGAAAACCAGTAGTAGAACGACGATCATCCGGACAACCAGCCCAGTCAGCATCACTAAACGCAGTAAGAGTACCCAAATCTGTAGGATGCAAAACTAAACAGGAATCAACGGTACCATGAAGATAGCGAAGAACCCGTTTGAGAGCCTGAAAATGAGAAGTGCGAGGCTGATGCATGAACTGACAAAGCTTATTAACCGCAAAGGAGATATCTGGACGAGTGAGAGTGGTATACTGCAGACTGCCACACAACCGACGATAAGTAGTAGCATCATCAGGAGACAACAGAGTACCATCCAAACGAGACAACACAACATTAGCCTGCAAAGGAGTGGAAACAGGTTTGCAAGTATGCATATTTGCAAGTCGTAGCAAATCAGTGACATACTTGCGCTAAGAGAGAAGCAAACCTTTGGAAGTACGACGAACCTCAACCCCAAGAAAGTAACTCAACGGACCTAAATCCCGAAGAGAAAACTCCTTAGCAAGACAAGAGATAAAATGCTGGACCAAACCAGAAGTGCTGCCTGTAAGAATAATGTCATCCACATAGACCAGCAAAAAACACAACTGAGACCCACGGCGATAGACAAAAAGAGACGGATCACAACGAGACTCTACAAAACCCAAGGTAAGTAGAAATGCTGCCAGCCGAGAATACCAGGCCCGAGGAGCTTGCTTAAGACCATATAAGGACTTATGCAGTTTACACACATAATGAGGGCGCACCGGATCAACAAACCCCTGTGGCTGAACCATATACACGGTCTCACTTAGAACACCATTAAGAAAGGCATTACTGACATCAAGCTGAGAAATCGACCATCCACGAGCCAGGGCAACAGTCAAAACTGAACGAATGGTGACCGGCTTAACAACCGGACTAAATGTGTCAGTGTAATCAACCCCAAAAGACTGAGTAAAACCTCGAGCCACCAACCGAGCCTTATACCGCTCAATGGAGCCATCAGCATGAGTTTTAATCTTATAGAGCCATCGATTGCCGACAACATTGCCGGAGGAAGGAGGGGGAACTAAAGTCCATGTGTTATTTTTGAGGAGGGCGGAAATTTCATCCTTCATGGCATTCTGCCACTGAGGAAGAGATTTGGCTTGGGTGAAGGATGTAGGAGCAGTAGACAAGGCTGGGGAAACAGAGGTAAGATGAGCCGAGGGATCAAAGATTTTCTTGGGATTGGGTTGTGGACAAAGTGTCATTGAGTGCTGACGGGAAGAAGGAGGAGGAGGTGGCGGCAGAGAACTGCAATCAGATGATGAAGAGCTGGATGCAGGAGATCTAGCTAAAGGTGATGAGTCGGGAGGGATAGGAGGAGACGAAAGAACTGGTGTACTAGAAGGAGACGAAGAAGACGCAGAAGACGACGCACGCATACCAGGAGAACTGGTTACACGCAACCAAGGGGTAGCAGGAGACTCTAGCAGCGAAGAAGGAGAACTAGAAATAGGAAGTTTAAAAGGAAAGAGTTTCTCATCAAACTCAACATGACGAGCAACATAAAGACGGTTATTCACCACATCAAAACATCGATAACCAAGATGAGATGGAGAATACCCAAGAAAGACACACTGAGTAGAACGAAAGGAGAATTTATGTTTATTATAAGGGCGAAGAAGAGGATAGACAGCGCAACCAAAGACACGAAGAAAGGTATAATCAGGTGACTGGTGATATAGTGTAGTGAAGGGTAGGTGACCTTGAAGAGGTTTACTAGGGTGGCGATTAATCAAAAACACAGCAGTTTCAAAAGCAAAATCCCTAAACCGAAAAGGGGTACTGGAATGGCCAAGGAGAGCAAGTCCAATGTCGACAATGTGCCGAATTTTGCGTTCAGCAGTGCCATTCTGCTCATGAGTGTGTGGGCACGCTAAACGATAAACAATACCGACATCTTTAAAGAAAGAATTGAGAGAACGAAATTCACCACCCCAATAAGGGTTAACACTTTTAATGGTAGTGCCAAATTGGTTTTCTACGAGAGCTTTGAATTGCTTGAAAACATGGACAACATCACTTTTATACTTAATTGGATAAATCCATGTGAATAAAGAGAAGTCATCAATAAAAAGCACAAAGTAGCGATAACCATTGAATGACAAAATAGGAGCTAGACCCCAAACATCAGTGTGAATTAAATCAAGAGATTTAGAGCTACGATGAAAAGTAGAAGGTAAACTGACCCTATGTAACTTCCCTAAACAACACGCCTCACATTTATCAGTGGACGTGGACACAGAGGAATAAGGAAGTTGAAACTGCCTAACCAAAGTACGAAGAGTGACATTATTAGGGTGCCCTAAACGAGCATGCCACTGACCTAAAGAGACAAGATAAGCTGCTGGAGACAAGGAACCACGAGCAGGAAGATCTAAGCGATAGAGACCATTATCAGCCCGACCGCGGAGGAGGAGTTCCTTGGTTGAAAGATCCTTAACACAACAAGAGTCAGAATAAAATTCAAAAAAACAGTGATTATCACGGGTAAACTTTTGAACAGATAACAGAGGCTTAGTAAGAGAAGGAGCATGCAAGACACGATTTAAATAAAGAGGACGAGAAAACAATGGCAAAATAGATTGACCAACATGCTGAATAGGTAAAGAATCTCCATTACCAACTAAAATATGATATGTACCAGTATAATCATTGGAGATACTGAGAGAGGACAAATCTGGCGTGACATGATCGGTAGCACCAGTGTCCGGATGCCAGGGAGTGACAGAAGGAGCATACTGCGCCATATGGGCTTGAGGATACATAGTCGACTCTAGGTAAGTCGGAAGAGGCAACAAACCAGCTGAAGGCGGTGCAGGAGAACCTGCCTGGGCATAAGCAGCCGACCGAACGGCAGGGGGTCGAGGAACAAAATTAGTATCAAAACGGCGTCGACAAGTGGCGGCCGTGTGATTCAAGATGCCGCAAAGCTGACACGTCTCACCCGGAGCTGGAGGGGTGTACCCATGCCGACCACCACCACGACCAGAAGCCTGATTGCGCCGGCCGCCGCGTTGCGAGCGACCGGCACGAGAGGATTGAGGCGGCGTAGGAGAAGGTGGCGACTGCACAAGCATGGCCGTGGGCTGAAGGACATGCTGTTGGGCGTGAAAAAGCACCTCATACGAAACTAACTGTCCAAGGAGATCTTGGCAGCAGCACCCCGGCACGGAGCAGCAGTAGGCGGCAGCAACGGGGAGACAAGAGCCTGTGCGTGGCGGCTGTGTCACGGCCAAAGGAAAAAAAAAAACAGTTGGCGGCGGGGAAGAGAAAAGAAAGGAGAGAAAAAGAAAAAAAAAATTTGGGTTGTTTTAAACCTAGCTCGATACCAACTTAAAATAGGGAAATTGTATTGTATTCATAATATGTTGTGCACAATATACAGACTATATATAGACAATAACAAACCCTAAACTAGGACATAATAGGAAATATACTAAATATTACAATAACCATAAGCTGCATTGTATTCTTTCAAAGCTGAAAGATATACTCCACATCCAGATACATCCCAAAGCCTGAAACAAAGTAGAATGGTTCTAGGGGCTTGCTTTTGAAGCAACAGAAATGGTATTAAAACTAGTTATGAATTAGAACTTAATGATAACGTCCCTCTTATACGAAACAGTTGAGAAACTGAATATTAAAAACAAAAAAGAAGACATTACTGAAAAGGGCCAATTTGCATTCCAAATTCACAGATCACTCTGTCAATTCTGAAAATGTCGACACCCAAATTGGCCAGCATATCAGCTGCTTGCATGTACGGTAAGAACAGCCGGTTAGCTGCGAAGCAAGCACAGTTTTTAACCACGATGGGAACTTTCTTAATCGCCTTGCTGAAGTTCAACACATCACATATTACTTGTGCAGAGGTTGCCTCAGTTCGAATAGTTTCAACAAGGGTCAGGCTGCAATGAAAGAAGTCAGGGAAAGCAAAGTTATCAAGAGTTTAGTCACATTTCAAAATGTGGAACCAGAAAGCCTATAACTTTTGCAGAAGTTTTAGCCCGAGTGACCGTAAACTGCAGAAAAATGTTCAGTTTGAGATGCAAATATATAGAGAAGTATTTGCCAAAAGAGATGTACTCCCAAAATGCGGTCGTGGGACTTTGTCCTCTCAGCAATCAAATTGAGATCGATGGTTGATGTGTTTGATGCCAAGATGCAGTCAGGGGAGCAGACCTTTTCAAGATCTTCAAAAGACTGATTGTTTCAGCGATACGTCTTCATTAACAGCCTGACCAGAAAAAATTGCATGAAATGGAAGGAAGAAATTAGATGGCATCTAAAACAAACACAAACTGACGTAAACCACGGTCTTCCTTGATTAGACCCCCATTAGACCCGGTTCCCATTAGACCCCCACCAACAACACCAACCTTTTCTATCTTCCTTGATTTCAAACCACGGTCTGTAATCCCGGGATCCTACCATATAGTATAGTATCCAATCAGAAGAAGTCACTTAATCATCGTTTTGGTGAGAATCGAATTCGTGACATTCCGCGCACGGCGCACTAAAAAAAATATGTGGTACCTTTGAGGATGCACGCTCTGAAAGAATACATGAACAAGACTTTTTGCATTCCTGGAAAGGCAGTAGTTTCTTAAATACTCTGTCTTCCTCAAACCAACCAACCAAAGTAACCAATAAGTTTATGAGTTGCAACAAAAAAAATACCGTCTCAAAATTATTGCCCAATTTGAATCTTTTTTAAATTTTAATTTGTATTATAAATGAAAATTTAAACTGGAAGAAGGAGTAGTATAGATGATTATAGGAGTTGACAAAAAAGAGTTTAACCATTGAAAAGAGTTTGAAATTATTTTATCATAGGTCAGAGAATTAATACTCCATACTAGTGCTAAAAAATTTTCCTTTTACTTTGCAAATGGATCTTGGAATTCAAGCACGACATACGATTTTCATCTATAAATCATCTTACCTTGACATTGAAGATTGATAATCTGCACCAAAATATATAAAAAAAAAATCAATTAGATGATTCATTATATCTTTTCCTTATGATATAAAGGTAGAAAAGATTAACGTTATGATGATAAAAAAGAAAAATAAATAGAGATGAAGAGAAAGTTTTCCAAAATAAGAAAAAGAATAAAGATCTTTGTGACAGAAAAAGGGTAGAAGGAAAAACATATTTAGAAATTAAAAATAATAATATAGAGGAAAAAATTATGTAGAAAATAAGAAAATATGAAAAAAACGAGATAATAGTGAGAAAATGTAATAATTATTACAAATTTTGAAGAAATGAAATTTTTAAGGAAGGTCATCAAATTTAGAAAAAAAAACAGAGAAAACTAAGGAACCAAGAAAAAAAAAGAACATTATAGGAAAAATATATGAACAAACTTCTAAAAAAAAAGTTCCAAGAGGTATATAGTGTGATGGAAAATAAAGATAAGTTCATGGAAAAAAAGTGTATTTTTTTTTGTTCGAGATATCATTATGAAAATAAAAAGAATACATTTTTTAAAAAAAAATTACAAAGCCATAAATCAATAAAACTCTAAAATAATTATCGTGCTTAAGATGCACAAAAAGTTACATTGGATGGTTTTGAATATTGAAAATAATTAAAAAAATGTACTTAAAATAACAAAATAAATTGACACTAAAAATTACATAATTGTAATTTATATCATTAATATTTTTGTTTACATACATCACTCTAGCATACAATCGTCAAATCATTAAACTCATATACATCTTAAACAAACCCCACAACATGTAGGGTAAACATTAGTTTTATATTAAAGGAGAATTTTCAATCGACACGTGTTGGTCAATTAGATAATTCACAGCCTTCTTTGTTGTCAAGCTCAGAATCTTTTTTTGACATGTGTCAATGCCAAAAATCTCTTTCATTAAAGTGTTAAAATTTTTACAATTTGGTTATTTCAATTTATTTTTCACTTATGTGTTTCACCTATCTTTATTACATTCCATATATTATCTACTTAATTAATAATGAAAAACTCATCTTTTTCATTGCTAAGTATTTTTAGATTTTCTTATTGGTTGCCAAGATATTTTTAAGCAGAGTTCACTGCGGTGGAATTTTAAAAAAAAAAATCATAAAATTTATTTTAGCGGATAAAAACCATCAAATATGTATAAAATGTAGTATTTTTCAGGAAAATCTAACAGAAATATTAACTAAAGAGATATTTTATAAAGAAACTTTATATCTTTTGCAGGGTGTCCACCGTCGGCAATAGTAACTAAAATCATCATATCGTCCAAGGTGCTGTTGAAAGACATGGGTATTTTCGGTATTTTGGGTCGCTTGTAGTTTTCAACTAAGTCTAAAATTTGAAACTGATTATTTACATTGGGTCAAATGCATATTTAGATCATCTATATTAATATTTGGCTAAAATTATCCTATACATTTACGCTAGTAACTTGTTTTGTCCTTTAGCACTACTCCAGCAGTTTGATCAGATTCGGCTAAAATTATCCTATACATTTATGTTTTCAGAAAATATTAAAATGAATAAAAATAATAATATAAATAATGAACTTATATTAATATATTTTTAACAAACTCAAAATGCAAAAATTTAGATTTTATTTTTAAATTTTTGGTCTAAATTTATTATTTAATATCTGGACCATTTTACTAGTGGTTCCACTTACTAATGTCTACTTTACGTGGTTAACATTTTCCAAAATTTACTTCCCCTCCTTATTTTATTTTTCACACATTCATTTTTTGCTATAAGAAAAAAATTAAAAACACCACAGTTCAAGTTCATATCCTCTCAAGTCTCTGGCCTCCTCCTTCTCTCCAATTTTCCAAGTCCAGTCCACTATATCTTTCGTCCACTAAAAGATTTTATTTTTCGTGGAAAATCACAAGCCGGCCAAACCACTGATAATACCCATATTCTTTGACGGCATGTTGGATCGAATGATGATTTTGGATGTAAAAAATTGGAAAATCGCATGTTTGGGACGGAATGGGGATGAAAACATGCATTTTCAAATGTAGGGGGACGTATTGTCCTAGGGTGAGAATGTCGTCGTTATTGAATCTAACGAGGGTGACATGGATGTCGAGATTTTCTACGTAGGATTCTCGTGACAATTGTTGTTACTGATGGGCATTCCAGTGCGAAACATTATTAAGTTGAAACCATTGCTAATATTAAACTGATTTTCTTCAACGTTGCTAACATTAAGAATCAAAGATAAAGAGAAAATAACATAGTGGGTTCTGAGATTTCAGTGCAGGCAAAGAAATGAAATGAAACGAGAAGGATTGGATGATCCCATCCTTTTGATAATGCCTTGTTGTACGGAAAAGAATAAACTTGGAACTTTGGCTGAAGAGCTTCTCTAAGAAGAAGATGCCTTAGCGCTTTTCTAGATTATACGAAAGCCGAATAAGCATTTGGCACAAGAAGGGGATAAAATCGTGCGAGATTACAGCCCTTGCCATAGAGACAGTTTTGGAGTTTGGTTGTTTGTGACTAAGTGGAAGGAAGAGGATGCTTAGCAAAACTAAGAGAGTCTCCTCTATTTGGGTAAAGTGGAAAAGAGAACGAAGATGAAGAAAGAAGGTATTTGAATTATGTTTGTGCATGATTCGATTTAGATGTGCTTTTTCTTTTCTTTTTTTTCAAAATAAGTTTTAAGTTTTATAAATGTCTGCCGAAGCTCAGGAGTATAGAGTGTAGCGTTGATTGTTTTGAAATTTTTGATTGCGTTATTTGCTAGACTATTTAAACCTAGCTCTGTGGCTTTTGATGGTGAAGTCAATTCAGGTTTGAGATTGTATTTGATCGTTTGTGTTTTTGTTTGATCAACTATTTATGTTGCTATTGGTGAATCTAATTCAATTGAGTGAATGTGTGTTTTTCTTGGATTATATTGAATTTTTTTTTTAAAAAAAAAACTAATCTCTTTATTGATCATGTTAAAAATCCCGCGTGAAGATACATTTCTTTATGCCATAAAAAAGTATAGGATATTAACATGTGTTTTCGTATGCTTTTTAGATGCATTAATTTGTTTGACGCTAATGAACCTTGGTACCTAAATTATT